GGGGGGAGGGGGTCTACCGGAGGGGGACCTGGAGCAAGTTAGAGCGGCGGGGGGTGGAGAGGGGCAGTGCGGTAGGGGAAGAGACGGTAAAAGGGAACCGACTCGTCAAACGTGAGAGGGGAAGACACGGCGCGAGGCGGGGTGGTAAAACTGCCAGCCAGGCGCGTCAGGGGGGAAGCCAAGGAAGACACAAGGAATGGCGCGGGAGGAGAGCTTGTCCGCGGAGGTATCGCGGACGAAGGCACGAGCGCCCCAGACCCGGAACGCCGACGCATCGCCAACCTCCCCCGTCCAACGCAGTATAGGCGAGGTCTCCGGCAAGGAGACACGGGGCCAGAGGTTGAGCTGATGCGCAGCGTACCGGACCGCAAACGGCCACAGAAAATGTGGAGCAGCCGCATGGATCATGGAGGTACGAGCGACCTCCATGACTAAGCCATTGCGGTGCTCAGCAACCCCATTCTGCTGCGGGGAGGCGGAAGCGTGAACGACTGGAGGATGCCCTCCCCACGACAAAAGTCCCGGAGGAGAACTCACCACCTCTGTCAAAGTGCAGACGCAGGACAGGAAGGTCCGTGCGGAACCGCTCGCGGAGCTGGAGACGGACAGCGCGGATCCAAGGGATCATAACATCAGGAACCTCCCCCTTGCTGCGCAAGCGGAAGACCGTGGTGTACCGCATGTATTCGTCAACCACCAGCAAAAATTACCGCTCGCGGCCCTGTCCCTGGACGCGGGCTGGGCCCCACACGTCCATGTGGAGAGTCTGTAGGGGAGCAGTCGTCGGGGGAAACGTGTAGGAGTGAGGAGCGGCGCGCTGCCGCCCCTCGACGCAAGGAAGGCAGGGCGGGGCAGGCGAGCGCGGGAAGGGGGGCAGAGACCTGGGAAGGCCAGAGACAAGGAGGCGGGGTAGCTCAGCCTCATCGCCAAACACTGCGCGCCAGGGGTCGCTCAGACAGGAGAAGTAGCGGGACTGTGTGTGGCCAACTGTCCTGCAAGTCTGACCAGCCCGATCACCTGTGCGAATGACGTACGGGCAGCGAGCAGTACACCGAGACCCCCCACTCTGAGCGTACCACTCACGAATCTGCTGGGGCGTAAGGGTCTCGCGCGGACGTCGCTGCAGTTGCATCTGGCCACCCCAGAAACTCCCCACTAAACAGCTCCACCGCGACTACCACTACGGCCGCCGCCATCACTCCGACTAGCGTTCCACTCACGAAGCTGCTGGGGCGTATGGGTCTCGCGCGGACGTCGCTGCAGCTGCATCTGGCCACCTCCAAAAACTTCCCACTGAACAGCTCCACCGCGACTGTCACTATGGCCGCCGCCACCACTCCCACTGCTGCCACCACCGCCGCCACCACTCCCACCGCTACCACGAAGAGAAGACATAGCGGGCAAAGCAAGGAGGCGTGCGACCAGAAGGGCAGGACTCAGTGAAGGCAGGGCGACGAGCAGGCGGTAGGGTAGCTCGTAGGGTAGGGCGGGGCGGCGCACGGTCAGGGAAGGGCGGCGCGCGGCCAGGGTAGGGCGGCGCGCTGCAAGTAGGGCGGCGTGCGGGCAGGCAGGGTCGGCGCGCGGCCAGCAGGGCAGCGCGCGGGCTGCAGAGGGCGGTGCGCGGGCAGGCAGGGCCGGCGCGTGGACAGGCAGGGGTGGCGCGCGGGGCCCTAGGGTGACGCGACGGGCAGGGCAGGGGCGGCGCGCGGGCCCTAGGGCGTCGCAACGGGCAGGGCAGGGCGTCGCGCGGGTCCTAGGGTGACGCGACGGGCAGGGCAGGGCGTCGCGCGGGTCCTAGGGCGACGCGACGAGCAGGACAGGGCGTCGCGCGGGTCCTAGGGCGACGCGACGGGCAGGGCAGGGCGTCGCGCGGCTAGCAGGGCGGCGCGACGGGCAGGGCAGGGCAGTACGCGACCAGCAGGGCGGCGCGACGGGCAGGGCAGGCAGGCGCACGGCCAGCAGGGCGGCGCGGCGGGTGGGGCAGCGCGACGGGCAGGGTAGGGCGCTACGAACAGGGTAACGCACTACAGGCAGGGAACTATTCGGCGGGCCCTAAAAAAAACGGTCCTGGAACAGGACCTGCTTTGAAACCATGTCAGAATAGTGAGCGAGAATGGAATGCATTGAGCAGAGAAGTGGGTACATATGCTAACCCTAATTTGGGTTGTACCCCTTATACACTACAGCCTACACAGCATATGCATCATTATAGTTTGACACACGCCCGCCAACAGAGCCAATCATCACGCCCGAGAAAATCCTAAGCCACCAAGTTCGGGACCCACGGGGAGCTCACAGGACCGAATTTTTTATCCGCTTGAAGGATTGCACGCCCACTGAAGACAAGTGGGTTCCCCTGGACAGAATTGAAAACCACCCCGTCGTCACCGAGTACCTTCGCAGCCGCAATTTCCGGGATGTACACGCACTTTTGTAAAGAGGGTCTCCTTAGGGGGAGGGGGGGGGGGGGGGGGAGGGGGTAGTGTAAGGAAAATTCCTTTTCCATACTTTGCGTCCCTGCTCAGCGCGTACACCACTGTCCGCGCCAACGGCACCCAACAATAAACCGTTACCACTCGCGACACTCGCCTCGACTACTGTTCCCGCCACTATTCACGACGCGACCCAACCTCACTGTTCGGTTGGTAACCTGCGCTTCGGACCGCCTCGACAATTCCCGGCCTCGGCGCTAGGCCCGTCGCGCACCCCATTTTCACGCATTACCGTTACCACTGTAGCTTCGCTATATATTCTTCGCGCATGCCTTCGCTCATTGTACTGTTTTGCTTCGATAGTGCAATTCTCGCTCGTTCGCTCAATTGCGCTCGTAACATCGCACCAGCTACTACCGAAGCAACATCAGCAGCACTATCGTGTTAGCCCATATAGGGCACGCATACAGTGCCCTAGATATCAGACTTTTTACGCTGATTCAGCGTCCATTCAGACTTTTTTTTATGCCAGGTCTGAACTGTAAGTTTTTTTTTTTTGTACCTTCTCTGATTTTCCAGAGTTCTTTTCAGTATAGTGGCTATATTTTCAGACAAATTGTAGGGGTGTAGGCTGAGCCTCAGCCTTGTTTCGGGGGTGCACTATGAATCGGGTACTGCAGGGGTCTGCCAACCTGGCGGCGTGTTTGCACTAACACCGTCAATCACGGGCGGGAAACGAAACATTTCCCGAGCGCGGCACCGCACAGTCGCGTTGGGCCAGGAATGCTGTAATCTGGCTCAATTCCAGCCAATCGCGGTAGCACACCAGGCAGTGTTGGCAACATCTGGCGCGGCTATAAGAAGCGCCGGCCAGTGACAGCACCTGCTGCAAGACACAGGGAGCCCCAGAGAGCTGGGAAGGAGGCTGCAGAGGAGCCAGTAGTTCAGCCAACAGCTGTAGAGTCACATGTGACAGAATCTGACTCAGATAGTTGAAATGTTTTCAAGCGCAGTATGAAAAACCGGCAGCCTTCAAACTTGGTGTAACTCTGAACTTTCAGCCAAAAAAACCTAGTGTTGTCTGAACTTTCAGACTCAAAATCGCATGCAACTCTGACTGACAGAGTTTAGATGAGGGTGCACTCTGACCCATCAGCGTGTCCTAAAACGAATCTAGGGCCCTGCACGCATACCAACCTGGACCGAACGGTTACCTGCGAAGAATTGCAACCGGCGTAACTGTATGGACAGTTACACACAGCAACCCGGTAACAAGGAGAAGAGCATTAGTCGTGATTACTGTAGCAATGCATATAAAACAGCTAAAGTAAGAAAATGTACCCCTTATAGTACATGGCTAGCTAGATCTATTTATTGTGCGATATTTTCCTTTTTAATCGATCTTGTCATCTATATTCACAATGCACAAGGTTCCTGCCACAACAAAGAATTTTGCTACGCTACTCTAGCAAACATATCATATCCAAGATCCTTATCACAACAAATTTTCCTAGGAGGAAGTTAATAATATGAAGAATTTTTTTTTTTATCAATATTATACAGCATCACATACAATCCAAACTTTTGAAAGTGCAGGCTCGATCGATATTCTCGCCCCTTGGGCATCGATAGGGCTCTATAAATATTTATGGAATTTCATTGTAGCATTGTCAGTTGATGAAGGGCAAGTTTGTCATTACTTGTTTCCAAGCACTTTGTTAGATAACTTATAGCACCATCATAAGAATATGTTCAGCTAGAAATTGTTGATATACTGCTTAGTGTTTGTGTCGGTGCTGCTAAGGACGAGGTGTAGTGAAATAGGACGCGTATAGTTACCAAACGCGTGAAACGAGTTACCAAACGCGTGAAACGAGTTACCAAACGCGTTATTGAGCGCCTTATGGTTACTATTCATATAATTTCCCTTGTATCAATCTCCCCCGATCATTCTCCGTCTTTTTCAAGAGTCCCAACTTGACTGAAGAGTCCCAACTTCAAGAGACGCACGTCTCTGGCGTTGTACAATGTACAGTTCACGTATGTGCGGTCACTCGAGGTATCGGAATCTCGCACATTCACCACTTCGACGGCTTGACTTCTTCCAGAAGTACTGTAATCTGCCTATAGTCAAGCACCTGCACCAATCACGTCACACTACTCGTGCACGACCTTCCACCAACGCACCTCGAACTACTGTACTGCGCACTTCACTCGCTTTTGAACTCGCGTGCGCCGCACGGCCACTGCCGGAGGCGATGAACGACCGTCTCCGCTGTTGCAAAAACGTGTTCAAAACGACGACATGACTGCACAGAACGTCGAAACGACTGCACTGTACAGTACTGCTTCCAGCAGATTTCTTTCTACTCGCCCGACAATGGCGGCATGCCATTCGACTTCAATCAGACGGAGGTTCTCTCACCACGACCCTTGAGTCTCGCAGCAATCCACCCCCAACGCGGCGTGTCGCTTGAAACCCTAAGTCATTCAGTCCGATCGAGAGACATTCGTCAGTAGTAGCAGGATATGGCCCGCTCCTACCCCAAGCCACATCCAACCAACAGCATGATGATGTCGCAGTCGCTCCAATCTCGGCGCTCATCGCGCAAGCCCGATCTCTCGCTGAACCTTTCTACCGTCTCCAACTTCCGTCGAGTCGCCGCATCGGCCCCCGCTCCTAGGCTGGACGAACGACTCGACACCGAGGGTCCGCCGAGCAGCGGGCGGCGCGACGAAGCATTGGACACTAAGGCGCAGGCCTGGCGACCCGCTGCGGCCTTATTTCACCTCAGCGCTGATGGTAACAGCGCGGGTGGAACGATAGGCCGTGACATCTCGCAGATCTCATCGTCGGGACCTTTGTCCGCCGGCGGCGGCTCGGAGCCAGCAGCGGCGACCGGGTTATCCCCTGGCAGGGCCTCCACAATGCTAGGCGCTCGACGGTTCTCTCGCTCCTTGTCGTCCTCCGCTCTGCCCGAATCGGCGCTTCCTCGCCCCTCGAACTTGTCGCTCTCCTCCGCGCAAAGCTCGGGCAGATCGCCGCCGTCGTCGGACTCGTTGTCACCTCAGACGCCCTCGCCCTCGCGAGAAGAGTCCAGGCGGACGAGAGTTTGGATCAGGCCGACGGCCGGCGGGCCCTGTGTGATTTCTTCCAAGCCGATCGTCCTAAAGCCTTCAGATGGGTCTTCTATCAGCAGCCCAGTGGCGAGTGCTTCCCACGTTTCATCCTGGTTCGTCACTCCTCACGCTTTCCACCCTGGAGTCCTAGTGCAAACGCTGTCGTGGTGCACATCATGATTGCATATACAGCCTGATTTGGTATCAGTTTGATTTTTTCGTTAAGCTGCTGCCGGTCCTTCCCTGCTGTGTTCGTTTTCGCCGTGTATAAGCCCTTGTTGACGGACTTTTTAGACTTGAAGTCTCGGCTCTCTGCTCCCTCCAACTCACCGTTTCTCCCTCTGCTTTCCCCCTCCATCCCCGTGCCACCCCGCATTGCATCTGATCCAGCACTGCGCAGGAAGCAACAGCACCGGTTACAGCCGCCACGAGTACCGGCGCCATCCCTTTCAGCAGCACGCAAGGCAGCACGCAAGGCAGCATGGTGGTGAGCCAACCCTCAAGACGAGGACCCGCTGTTACCAGCGATTCCGCTGCCCTTCCCAGCCCAACCACCCCCCGGCTCTCCCCGCGCCCTCCCCCCTCCCCGCGCCCTCCACCCTCCCCTCGACTCCTTCGCTCGCCGGTCTCACGCGCATCTGCAATCACATCGGGACGCGACCAGCGCGCCGCTACCACCCTCGCAGCACGGCGAGCGCTTGACACACCCATTCCTCCTCTGCACATCATGCCGCCCCCCACGCGTGCCACGCCTGTGAAGTGGCAGCCGCCGTCCCCCACGGCCGTGCGCAGCCCGCACGCGGAACTGATTCAGCAGCGCGCGGCGGAGGCGAAGGCGCGGCAGGCGCACATGGACGATGCGTGGGGCGCGCTGCTGCTGCGCGACTCCCACGGCTGCTCCGCGTGTGGGCCCGCCAAGGGCGCAGCAGGCGAGTCTGCTACTGCTGATTCTTTGCCCCTGACTGCTGGTGGTGCTTCGAAGCCGTCCTGGGGTGCTTCCTGGCAGCTTCTGATGGCGTCGGGGCGAAGCCTCAAGGGGTGGAATGGGGGCTCAGCGGCAGCTAAGGAAAGTGACATTAACGGAGGTGTTCCTAGAGGGGATGAGTTAGGGAGCCTGAGCGGCGGTGCACGTGAGAGGTCATCAGGGAGCGTGAGGCGTGGCGTGGTGACGTCGAAGAGAGGGAGCATGCGGAGGTTGTGTCGGTCCGTCTCATTCAGCGACGGCTTGAATACGGTTGCTGCTGCTGGTGATGCTGCTGCCGCCACCGGTGGTGGTGGCAGTGGTGGTGATGGTGGTGCTGCTGGTGGCGGCATTGTGAGAACCGAGACTCATGGACATGCAGCGCACACCTCAGAGGAGGCACTTGTGGCATGTGCAGCCCAGGGCGACCTCCATTCGTTGCCGTGCAGTCCCACTCTCACCGCACGCCGTGCCTCTCTGGATTCGTTGGGTCCTTCCTCACTCCGCCGCCATTGGTTGAATCCTGCCCTTTACGACCCCGCCTTGCAGCACTCTCCTTCAATGAAAGACAGGCAAACGGGAATGAGGGCGAGTACGGACACAAGAGGAGCACCACTGGGAGTGGGGACGAGGACTGGGGCAGACGGAGCAGTATCGGGAACGGGAGCAACGGCAGGGGACAGTGGAACATTCACCGAGCCAAGGATGCTTGGCGTCAGCAGCAGCAGTCTAGCGGCTGACGACGATGGGGGCAGCATCCCTGCTTCCCCCATGGGGGGCAGCACGCGTCACTGCAGCTCGCCACAGTGCTCCACAATCTACTGCTGCACCATTCCCAGTCCCGATGCATCAGCCTCCGCCACCCAATCAGTGCCTGTCAAACGGCACCCTGGGACCGCCACACGGCGTCTGTACAGGAGAGGCACCCCGCGGAAGATCTCCTCCTGCTCCGATCTTCCCCATTTGCCAGCACCAGCAGCGCCTCTCTTCACACCAGCGGCCGCCACCGCTGGTGCTGCAAATGCCGCATCAATATCATGTGGTGGGGATCCAGGAACGCAACTCCCTCTTGCCTCCGCTGATAATTCCTCACCTGCAGCTGCACTTTCGAGTGCATCGCTCCCGCATCGCAGCTTCTCGTCTTCCATGCTCTCCTCTGCGTCGCCCATGCTGCCTGTCTCACCGCTTGATTCGACGGGGGAGAAGGGAACGAGGCCGTCGCAGATGCGAAAGAAGGTGTCGTTCAACTCCATGGTCAGGGTGCGGACGTTTGTGTCATTGGATGACTTCGAGCCTGCTTGTGAGGTCGCTCCTGCAGCATGCTAGGAATAATTATGATAAGAATCATGTGAGGCAGATTCCGCTTCGCGGATAAGGATAACGCAAAGGGCATTTAAGTTCCTGGGTGCACAGTCGAGGAGGCTTAGGAAGCAATGGCGACGTCAAGAGTTATGACCCCTTTCATTCTGCACGCTGGTCAGTAATGATACCATTATTGCCAAATCCGCCAGCTGGTTGAGCAAATATTCTGATAGTACAATGCTGGTGTTATTGATAGCTGTAATGTTATTGCCAAGATTGAAGGCGAAATTGATCAAGCTCGGTTTTGTAAGATACAGAAACGAAATTCTCGAATGGCGTACCACACAACTCAGCCAATGTCAGAAGTCTCGACCCGACGAAGCTAGGTGTTCCGCGCAACCTCGCAACCTCGTTATCCGAGCATGGCGATCTCGCGACAACACCACCCCTGACCTACACCTTCGTCGTGTTACAACATTACAATTGTGATGGAATCTTTTGCAGCCTTTGTCCCGAAAGGACTATGGGACGAATTTCATTACCTTTCTCCTATCGCACCAGCGACGAGTACTCATCGCCATGGCGCAATCTCTCCACACACCGTCGCCGTGCCTCAAGCCTCTTGCTGAGCCGCGCCATGCCCCGCGCATGCGGCGCGCACGCCTGTGTCAAGAGCGAGTGCATTCGTTCCCGCAGATTGGTTCCGCCTTTTCAGCTAGACGATTGTCTGTTGGCCACGTGGCTGCTCTCCGCGCCACGTCAAATCCCGCGAACCCAGGAGTCAGCGTCGCGGGTCACAGACGCTCGGTTTCCGGCAGCGTGAACGCGCCGAGGTACAGCTCTGCCCCTTTATAGACGTACTCGCTTTTTTCGCCCTTCGTTGTACTGTTCCTCACCACTCCTGGTTGGCGCGGGACCACAACTATGAGAGGCCCAGATGGTCGCAGCTGCGTTGACCGTTGGAATGGTAGTTAAGAGCAAGGTGTCTTGGGCCCAGATAATGTGATCTTATTCGAATTTGTGGTGTCGCTAGTGCCACTCGTCTGAAATATAGAATCAGACCACACGTTTTTTCTTATTTGCGTTTCCCCGCCGCCTCGTATCCCCTTCCTCTCCTCCCTAAAAACCCCAATCTCCCTCCTGCCAGCCTCCAACGCTCCCCTCTGGGAACTTTCTCCGTTTCTTCTCACGCAGCTTCGGGAAATGCCGCCACAGCATCTGACGTGGCAGCTGATGTCAGCGGTATTTGCAAGCCGGAGTTCGCTGCTGAGCTGGCAGCGGCAGTGGATGTGGTAGAGAGGGCATGCCACGTGTGCCTTGCTGTGAGTATAATCACCTTCCCTCTCCTCCTCCTTCCCGTTCCTATCCTCTCGCCTCATCCTTCTCTTATCCTATCTCCACCCACCCCTCCCCCTCCCCCTTCCTTCGCCATGCGCTTACCTCTCTCTCACGTATCTCGCACGGGTTCCTCTCTCGAGTCTTGCAGGTGAGGGAGCAGATGGTAGCGGAGGAGCAGGGGGGGTACAGCAGTGGCAGTGAGAGCGAGGGCGGCAGCAGCAGCAGCAGCAGGGTGGACAAGAAGGACCGCTCGCCCGTCACTGTTGCTGACTTCGCCGTGCAGGCTCTTGCTGCTCTCGGTGGGTGCTTTGCTATCCCCCCCTTGTTGCTCTCGGTGGGTGATCTCGCCCCCCTTCCCGTGCCAAGCCACAACGCAGGCGGCCAGTGGCCTGCTTGTGTGGCAGTAGCCGAGGCGGCAGTGGGTCGCACGACACCTGTATGTGCTTCTCCCGCTGCCCCTCCACTCACTCCTCTCCATCCATCCACCTTCACTTCGTGCTCCTTTGGTTGCTCCTGTCAAGCATGCATTGGCGCTACATATGTCTGTATTGTCTTTCCTCGCCTGAAGTCCCTGAATAATCCCTGCCAGAACTAACAACACTCCGTGCGCCATCATATCACCCACTGTCCGTCATGCGCAGAGCTGGCAAGGCAGTTCCCCGGCGTGCCACTGGTGGGCGAGGAGGACGCCTCTCTGCTGCGCGCCCACCTCGCTGCCCCCACTGCCCCCACGCCTTCGCCACCAGCAGCACAGGCAGTCACTGGTGCTGCTGTGGGGCCAGCCACTGCAGCAGCAGCAGCCGGTGCTGCAGGTACCGCAGCAGCGGGGGCAGCAGGAGGCGGGGAGCAGGGGCCATCTCTGGCGGAGCGGGTCACGGATCTCGTGCTCCGCTTTGCCTCGCCCCACGCCCTGGCGCTGGGTGGCGCAGGGGAAGGTGTTGTGGAGGGGAGTGAAGGGCGGGCGGCAGCAGTGGAGGCAGTGCTGATAGCCATTGATGCCGCCGCTGCTGCCACGCACGACCTTGATGCTGCGACCACTGCTACTCCCAGGCACACAAGATACTGGGTACGAGCCCGACCCTCCCTCTCTCCCCCATCTCTCACATTTCCTTTTCCTCCCCAACCCCCCTGCTTTCGCATTTTCTCCACCGCCCCCCGATCCATCTCATGCTCCTCGCTTTTCTTCGTATCTGTCATCCTGTCCTCTCCACTGCATGTCTTATTTTGTTTCTGTGTCTTCACGCTTGATCTCATTTACTGTTAGGTCATGCTGTTATTCCGCATGCTGTTATTCCGCATGCTGTTATTCCGCATGCTGTTATTCCGCATGCTGTTATTCCGCATGCTGTTATTCCGCATGCTGTTATTCCGCATGCTGTTATTCCGCATGCTGTTATTCCGCATGCTGTTATTCCGCATGCTGTTATTCCGCATGCTGTTATTCCGCATGCTGTTATTCCGCATGCTGTTATTCCGCATGCTGTTATTCCGCATGCTGTTATTCCGCATGCTGTTATTCCGCATGCTGTTATTCCGCATGCTGTTATTCCGCATGCTGTTATTCCGCATGCTGTTATTCCGCATGCTGTTATTCCGCATGCTGTTATTCCGCATGCTGTTATTCCGCATGCTGTTATTCCGCATGCTGTTATGTCACATGCTTTTTATCTCGCATGCTGTTATGTCGCAAGCTGTAATGTTACATGCTGTTGTGTCCTCCGTCACGCTTGCCTTGGCCCTCATGCTGCTGTGTTGCATGCTGAATGTCGCATGCCCCCATGTCGCACACCACAGGTGCTGGATCCAATTGATGGCACGCGAGGCTTTCTCAGGGGCCACCACAACCAGTACGCTGTGAGCCGCCCCTCATGCTCGTGACGTATTGCACATTTATTCGAAATGTCTCTAAATGATGTAGAAAGTTTAATGGCAAGACAAACATGTTCATATTCCTATCTAAAGCGTACTAGTATGTAGAAGGCTATGTCTCCTTGATTGTGTAGCTTGGAATATAGGAGAGAGCAGTGAGTGCCCCTCTGGGCAGGAATGAGTTACGCCGTGACATGGGTGGTCTGTTGTGATCCAGTGCATTGAGTCAAGATGCAGTGAGATGCACTATTTCGTCCCTCTCTTCCCTTGTTGTTAGGCCGAACTAGCGTCCGAAGGCTGTCTGCATATCATGTATCTTCATTTGATGCTCATTTCTCCCCTCCCTCAGGTTGGGTTAGCTCTCATCGAGGACGGAGAGCTTGTCCTTTCAGCCCTTGGCCTTCCCAACATGCCCCTGCCACGTGGCAACTCCTCAGCCACTCAATCGAACCACGCTGCTGATGTTGCAGGGTCTGCAGCAGTTGGTGATGTTGACGTGGAGAGTGAATCAGGAGATGACATGTGGCAGAGGCCACGTGGAGTGATTGTAGCAGCTACCAAGGGAGGAGGGGCATGGATGCGGCGATTGCACAGCAGCAGTCAAACAAGCAGCACGCACAGCAGCAACCCAAGCAGCAGTGACAGTTCTAGTGGAGGTGCAGAGTTGTATGAGCGGGTGCACGTGGACGTGGGGGTGCGTAACATGCTGGCATGCGGTACCACTCACGAGCACAGCGCTGACCAGACTCACCCGCTCCGGGGCATACCCTGGGATGGCAGTGCGTGGGATGACAGCAGCAGCAGCAGCAGCAGCAGCAGCAGCAGCAGCAGCGGGCACGCCAGCCTTGGTTTCACCGGCCAGAGCCACAGCAGCATCAGCAGTGGTGCCGTGTCAGCAGCACATCATGGTGTCCACAGCACCGCTGTCGCCACCAGCAGCACTGCCACCACGAGCAGCAGCAGCAGCAGCAGCAGGCGGCTGTGTGTGTGCATATCGGACCACGAGGAGTGGCCGTCGCTTCCCCTCGCGAGGGGCTTGGAAGCCGCTGCGCCGAACGCCTCCCATGTCACCGTGCTGCCGCTGTGCTGTGGCAGGTGGGTGCGTTGAGCTGCACAAGAAGGTGATTCGAAACCTACCAGGCGTTAGGGGATTGACTGCTGAGTCAACAACTCTTGTTTTTTCGAGCTTGTCCATTCCCCTCCCCCATTCAACAATTCCAACTGGTAGATAGAACTGGGCCATGCAGCAGCAGAGTGCGTGCAGGCACCAGGCTGCCGTACTTGCCACGAGGCCCATCAACTCATCTCTCCTCGGGTGCCTCTCCCCCCTAGTTCCCCCTGCCGTTTATGCAAGTATGGGCAGTGGTTCTGGTCTGTGCAGCAGCGTTGTGCATGCAGCAACCATGACTCCTCGTGTGTCTCCCCTCCCCCTCTCCATCGCCAGTCTGTGCAAGTATGCGGCAGTGGCGCTGGGCTATGCGGCGGTGTTCATTCAGCACCCGCTGCCAGGCAGCCCGCACCTGAAGGTGTGGGACCACGCTGCTGGCGTGCTCTGCGTCACCGAGGCAGGCGGACAGGTGCGCCTTGCTTGCTCCCCTCTTGCTGCAACTCACTTGTTGCACCTTGCTCCCTGTGTGTAGTCGCCAGCACCCACTGCAGGCTAACACATGGGCTGCAGCCACTGCCTTCCAAATGCCACCACACACACGCACAAGAGTTCAACATGGATGGTTCATTTGGAGATCTCAATTCCACTCTTCCCTTTCCGGTCCCTCCCTTTGCTGCCTCTCCCCTCACTGCCCATTTCCTCCCTGCTGTTCCCCTACTTGCTCCTCCCTTCTCTGCCGCTTTCCTCTCTGCCCATTCCCTCGCTGCACGTCCGATCCCCGTTCCGTCCCTCCCTGACTCACGCATCAGGTAACCGACTTCGCAGGGCAACCGCTTGAACTCGGTGGGAAGGTGGGGCAGGCTGATCAGGAAGCCGCACGTGCGGCGACAACACATGCACCCGACCAAGGATGCAATGACGGCAGCAATGGCAGCTTGGCGTATTTCAGTCCGCATGGAGGGGGAGTGGTGGCCACTAATGGTGTGCTGCATGCTCAAGTGCTGCACCACCTCGCACTAGGCCTGCGCATGCGACGCGGGTAGATGGAGTGTGAGAGGTTTCATACGTGGGTGGATGGAGGGTAGGAGGTTTCATACGTGGGTGGATGGAGGGTAGGAGGTTTCATACGTGGGTGGATGGAGGGTAGGAGGTTTCATACGTGGGTGGATGGAGGGTAGGAGGTTCATACGTGGGTGGATGGAGGGTAGGAGGTTTCATACGTGGGTGGATGGAGGGTAGGAGGTTTCATACGTGGGTGGATGGAGGGTAGGAGGTTTCATACGTGGGTGGATGGAGGGTAGGAGGTTTCATACGTGGGTGGATGGAGGGTAGGAGGTTTCATACGTGGGTGGATGGAGGGTAGGAGGTTTCATACGTGGGTGGATGGAGGGTAGGAGGTTTCATACGTGGGTGGATGGAGGGTAGGAGGTTTCATACGTGGGTGGATGGAGGGTAGGAGGTTCTATACGTGGGTGGATGGAGGGTAGGAGGTTTCATACGTGGGTGGATGGAGGGTAGGAGGTTTCATACGTGGGTGGATGGAGGGTAGGAGGTTCTATACGTGGGTGGATGGAGGGTAGGAGGTTTCATACGTGGGTGGATGGAGGGTAGGAGGTTTCATACGTGGGTGGATGGAGGGTAGGAGGTTCTATACGAGGGTGCATGGAAGGAGTCGTATTCCGTTTCGAGGTCACACGCTGTGCTGCACCCACATTTCTGCACCACCCAGCAATACCCAGGCCCGCGCATGACATGGCTTCAGAGCAGGTCCCGATGTAGGACGTTTTTTTTTTTTCCTAGGTTCCGCCGTTAGCTCTGCCCCAGGTGCTTCTGCCGTCACGCACCGCCCTGCCCTGCCCTGTACTGTCGCTCTGCCCTGCCCTGCCCCGCGCGCTATCGCGCTGCCTAACCGCCGCCGCCCGCGCTACCCTGCTGCGCGGCCGCTGCTCTGCCCTGCTCACGCTGTCGCGCGCACCCTGCCCTGCTGCGCGACCCCACACGCGCTGCCCTGCTACACGCCGCCCTGCTAAGTGCTGCCCGTCCGCGCAGTGCCCACCCGTCGCGCTGCCACGCCCGCCACGCTTGCCCCGCCCGCCGTGCCTACCCACGCGCACTGCCCTGACGCACCTGCCCCACGCTCTGCCCTCACTGCCCCGCGCGCGCTGCAACGCTGCTGCCCGCGCTGCCGCCAGCACCTGCCCGCCGCTGCCCTGCCCTGCAGCGCACCCGATCTGCCCGCCGCCGCCCTTACTACCACCCGCGCTGCAGCCTGCCACCCGCACTGCAGCCTGGCCGCCCGCGCTGCAGCCCTCACTCCCTTGCCGAGCCGCCTTGCCGAGCCACCCCACCGAGCCGACCTATCGAGCAGCCCTGCATACCGGTGCAGCCCGGACCTAGCACTGCCCCTTGTTCCAAGTACTACCTTCCTCGTTACTCTCGCTAGGCCGCTGTGCTTACTATGGAGACACCCACCGTTCTGGAGCTTGACGCTGAGGGTAGCCCGATCGATACGAGTCCTGGCTCGAGGGCCTTCACCTGTACCTGCTTAGCGTTACTAGGTGTTGGGCTGAAAAAAGCCCTTAGGATCTTTGCAGGACTAAACTCTGGGTAGGAAGTTGTAATAGCGGAAGCGTTTTAATGATAAGTCCTTGAACCACCTTGCACTGGTATGTGAGGGCAAAGTAGATTGATTGAATCAAAGAGATACAAGGCTTTATAAGAGTACAAGAATATGAAGAGACACAACTAATAACTGTTTTACTGTTGCTGTTGCGGTTCGATACAGTGACGACTCGGGCAACTGCTCAATAACGAGTCAGTTGTTTGTCCTTGCTGTCGCGCTGTAATTGTCAGGTCAAAGGTCGCTGACCTTTGCTCAAGTGCTGCACCACCTCGCACTAGGCCTGCGCATGCGACGCGGGTAGGTATGAGAGGTTTCATACGTGGGTGGATGGAGGGTAGGAGGTTTTATACGAGGGTGCATGGAAGGAGTTGTATTCCGTTTCGAGGTCACACGCTGTGCTGCACCCACATTTCTGCACCACCCAGCAATACCCAGGCCTGCGCATGGCACGAGGGTAGCAGGCAGCATATGAGACGGGTCGAAGGGGTGGTGGTGGGCAGTGGGTACAGGAGTGTGCTGGTAGCTTATGGTGTGCTGCGCCACTTGTCAACGTGCCTTCTGATGTTGGGCGGATCATCTGATTTGTATGAGGGTGGATGGGAGGGCGACGGGCGTTGTATTGTATGTCCCACCGACCGTTTTTCCCCAAATACCGTATAAGACCCGGGTATCTTTCGTAAGATTCAATGAAAATGATTACGGTGAACATTATTGAGGTCGTTTCTACAACCCGTGTTACAGTGTACGTCATCGCCCGGATATAAGACAGTGTTGAATAGAAGACAGGTGTATCTAAACAGGTTTTTCTTATAAATGGGTTTTCCCGATTATAAGATACCTATGTGCGTGTACGAATTAAGACGTATGTGTCTTATAATAGAAACTGCAGTATACTATTACTATAGTGAATATTGAAATACCGCGTACATTTGTACCCGCGCGAAACGCGGATTATGCCACGTGCCAACTCAGGTATTACAAAATTTGTCTTTGCAGGCATTTCCATGACGTCGCTGTTAGACATATATGATATAGCCTGTGTAGGCTGTAGTGGGGTAGACAATAGGGGTTACAGCTTTTCTAGGGTTTCATACTTGTACCTTTCTCATTCCTAGTCAATTCATTCCTCTTACTTTTTCCACACGGTTTTGAGCGGGTTCCCTAGTGGGACCATTTTTTTTTTCCTAGGGCCCACCACTGTAATTTTTTCCTGCCCGAAGCGCGCTTCTTCCCCTGTCGCGCGCCTCGCGCCTGCCTTACCTGCGCCCCGTGCGCCTGCCCTGCTGTCGCGACCCTGTCTAGAGCCGCCGCGGCCCTGCCGTCGCGGTCCCTACCGTCGCGCCCCACCCTGCCGTCGCGGCCTCTGCCGTCGCGGCCCCTGCCGTCGCCGCATCTGCCAGCGCGGCCCCTGCCCTCGCGGCCCCCTGCCGTCGCGGCCTCTACCCGCGCGGCCCCTGCCGGGCGGGCACCTGCACTCGCGGCCGCTGCCGTCGCGGCCTCTGCTGTCGCGACCGCCTGCTATCACGGCCCTCACCTACGCGGCCCACTCGCCCGTCGTCGCGGGCCTACACAGCCCTGCCGCCCTCTCGTCGCGGCCCCGCCCTGCCGTTCTTCGTCGCGGCCCCTGGCCTGCCGCCTCACGTCGCGGCCCCACCCTACCCTGCAGCAGTCGCCGAGGCCCCGTGGCCTGCAGCAGCCGTCGCCCTGGCTGCCGCCGTCGCTGCCCTGCTGCCGCTGTCAAGCCTGCAGCTGCCGGCGCGACCGCCGCTCCCGCCGCCGCTGAGGCCCCTTCTGTCGCGGCCCTACCCAGCCGCCTCGTCGCAGCCCCTCCTTCTAGCGGCGCGCCCCGGCTCTGCCCCACCAGTAGCGGCCCTCCACTTCCGCCTCTGGTAAGCGCACCGCCGCACCCGCGCACCGCTGCACCCGCGCCGCCCTCCCGAGCCGCGCCGCCCTACGGAGCCGCGCCACCCTGCCGAGTCGCGCTGCTACTGCTACTGCTGCTGCTGCTCCTGCTACTGCTACTGCTACTGCTGTCATGGCTACCCCTAACATCCTTACCTTCGATGCTGAGGGTCGGGCAGTTGATTTCGACATCTGGGTCGATGATCTGCAGCTATTTCTGCAGTGCGATAGCAAGGATGGAGTCTCGCTTTTTGATCTCACGTCTGGCGCCTCTACTGCACCTGCTGCTGATGCTGACAGTACTGTTCGCTCGCAGTGGACCACGCGTGATGCTGCTGCCCGTCTTGCTATTCGTAGTCACCTGCCGTCTGCTGAGCGCGCGCACTTTAGCCAGTACAAGTCTGCTAGGACACTGTACGACGCTGTTGTTGCGCGCTACTCCTCCCCTGCCACTGCTGCCCTTAGCCGCCTCATGCTGCCGTACCTGTTCCCTGACCTAGCCGCTTTTGCCACAGTCGCTGACCTCATTACGCACCTCCGCACTAGTGACACTCGCTACCGCGCTGCGCTTCCTGCCGAGTTCTGCGCCGCGAACCCCCCCCCCCCCCCCCCCCTATGTACATCACTCTCTACTACCTCGTCACCCGGCTCCCTGACTCCCTTCGCTCGGTCAGGGACCACTTCCTCTCCCTTTGCCCCACCACGCTCACCGTTGACCTTCTCGAGGAGCGCCTTCTAGCAGCTGAGAAGAGTATAGTCGCTGTAAGAGCCTCTCGTGGTGACTCTCGTGCCCCTTTCTTTGAGGGGTGCTCCCCCGTTCCCCATTTGCCTTCTGTTGCCTCTGCTGCTGCTATCGACCTCGTTGGCACCGAGTCGGTTGGCACTGCGTCTGCTCCTAGTGGGAGGCGCCGCAGCGGCAGGAGCAAGGGGGGCAAGGGTGCTGGAGGAGACGGCGGGGGCGGTGGTGGTGGCGGTGGAGGCGGCGGCGGGGGTGGGGGTGGAGCTGGGGGTGGTGGCGGGAGTGGGGGGTTCGGTGGCGGCAGTGGAGGTGGGGGCGGCGGAGGCAGCGGCAGTGGGGGTGGAGGTGGCGGCGGCAGAGGCGGCGGTGGGGGTGGCGGCGGCGGTGGTGCTGGTCGAGGTGGCGCCGTGCAGCGGGGAGGCTTTGGCGGTGGGCAGCGCCAGCAGCAGCAGCGCCCTCGTGAGACCCTGTCGCCCCGGCAGCTTCGTGAGTGGTACGCTGGGCGTGGGAGGTCTGGGGATGCTGGTCCCTGCACTTACGTTCTTCGCACTGGCGACCGCAGTGGGGAGACGTGTGGAGGACCGCACGCCACCCTGGGCTGCTTTGGCCGCCTGACTGACGCTTGGCGTACGCAGTTTCCCGACTCCTCTGAGATCCCTCGCCGGGGTGATCTGCATAAGTCGGGGGTTGCAATCTTTGATCTTGATTATGATGCTATCCTTGCTGCTATGATTGTTGTATCTATTCGTGCTGAGGGTGACTGTTACCTATGTGTTCCG